GGGGAACATAGTGAGACCTCACAGGAAGGGAGGGAGAGAGAGATATTAGGTTAGGTTTAAGGTAAAAATATTTATCTAGTTACTTTATTCAGTCATAAGCCCACCTCTTTCGTTTAATATCCTTTAAAATGTAAAGCTGGAACAATATTCTTTAAAAAATTTAATAGTTTTTGCTAGAATTCCATTAGCAAAGAGGCACAGATCACTTTGCACTATAACTGATCACATTTTTACCTATTTTTAAAAGAAATTCAATGTCTGTATTTTTTTTTTTTTTTTTTTGAGACAGAGTCTCACTTTGTTGTCCAGGCTAGAGTGAGTGCCGTGGCGTCAGCCTAGCTCACAGCAACCTCAAACTCCTGGGCTTGAGTGATCCTTCTGCCTCAGCCTCCCGAGTAGCTGGGACTACAGGCATGCGCCACCATGCCCGGCTAATTTTTTTTATATATATATCAGTTGGCCAATTAATTTCTTTCTATTTATAGTAGAGACGGGGTCTCGCTCTTGCTCAGGCTGGTTTTGAACTCCTGACCTTGAGCAATCCGCCCGCCTCGGCCTCCCAAGAGCTAGGATTACAGGCGTGAGCCACAGCGCCCGGCCCAATGTCTGTATTTTTAAATTTAATAGTTTTAAGTTTAAAAATTTAATAGTTTTCACTAGAATTCCATTAGCAAAGAGGCACAGACCACTTTGCACTATAACTGATCACATTTTTACCTATTTTTAAAAGAAATTCAATGTCTGTATTTTTAAACAGTGCTATTGAGATATGCCTCACATACCTTTCAATTTGGTCATTAAAGTGTAGAATTTAGTATATTCACAGTGTCTATAATAAAGTCAAATGCTGTGACCAATAACCAGTGCTATTGAGTTATGCCTCACATACCTTTCAATTTGGTCATTAAAGTGTAGAATTTAGTATATTCACAGTGTCTATAATAAAGTCAAATGCTGTGACCAATGTAGAAATCATGAAAACCTACAGAAAAGATCATAGGTTCATTAGGCCTAATGACAACACTAAATTACCAGTTTCCATAACTGATTATTCACAGGATTGAGATGTGTATATATATATATATAAATATATATATATAAAATATCACATATTTTAATATATGCATTTATATAATTTATATTTCAGTCCTAATTCTATACTTCCCCATCTTTAAGTGTAGAATAAGGATAATATTGATGTGAAGCATAAGTATTACTAAAACCAGAGTGTACAAGCTGATGCATGCATATATCCTAAATTTAAATCTACTGTTTAAACTGAAAACTAGATGTTTACTGCTTTAGCAACTTTGGGGCATTATGTTCTAACTTAATGTAGCATTTGGACCACACAACGTAAAGTAATGCAACTGTCACAGCCTTTTCCTGTTTGTGTTATAGCTGCAATGTGGTGTAAACAAGAAACCCACAGTGGCACGCATATCCCGCCTGCAGCTATGAGGAGGACTCTAAGATTCTGTCAAACCACATAATCACTCCAGGATTTAAGTGCTAAAATAGCACTCAATTTAAAATAGCTAAATTGTGGCTCCTGAATCAGATATGCCAAGAAGTCTTCACAACATTTTATTAAAGTATTAAATCAATGATTAATGCTGATGAAAAAAATAAATATTTGCTCTTTGTTTACATGAGACCACAGTGAATTCTTTACTTTTGTTCATTTGGTTCTCAGGCTATACATATCATATTCTGGCTGGAGTTAAATTCTCAACCTCCCAGAAGAACAGTGGGAAGAAGAAAGCTCTCCCCAAAGAAAGTTTGCATACAATAGTACAGAACATAAACAAGGAAACTAGTTTGAGTAATAAAAGACCAACTGTCAGAACAGTTACGCAATGCTGGATGTGACAGGTTTGGGTCTCTATCTACTTACAGCCGTAGAGTCACCATTTATTGGCAACAGTAAAAACAGAAGAGTTAGAATTCACCCGACTAAGTTCTAATTTTTCAAATAAATAAAAATAGCAATGGAAAATTGTCCTTATTCATCTCTATAAAAACTTAAAGAATCTTCATAGGTGGGTGTGGCAGCATGCACCTATAGTCCCAACCACTTAGGAGGCTGAGGACTGACTGAGCCCAGGAATTGGAGACCAGCCTGGGCAACACAGTAGGAACCAATCTCTTGAAAAAAAACAACAAAAAAAACTTTTTCACCCAGAGTTGTCTAATTTTCCAGAGCCCCATCAGTGTAGTCCAGGCATGCCTATAACAAAAAGCCCTGCCATCAAGCCTGCCAGGCCTTTGCCCTGTTTATAAAAAAACGAGTGAGAAATAAATAACACCACTATTGACATTAAAGCTGTTGGACCAAATTCTTGTAGAATTATCAGTTAAGTGAGAACCATTTTTCATACCCTAGTAGTCTCAATTCAGGACCAGTATATATTTTTTCTCAAAGTATTAATATTCTTTTTATCATTTCCATATCCAGGATAAATATTTACTTTACTACATAAAAAGAAGAAAACCTGCCAGTGAATCTACGCAAAGGTGGAGTTAGGAAGCTTGCAGGACATTAGTTTGTTTTCCTGTGCTTCCACTCTATGACTGGTAGTCCTCAGAGACACAATATGAAAAAGTATATAGTTTTCGGAATGTACAAATATATCTTTTCTTTAAAATTAATTTTTATTACCTTTCTCTCTTTTTTATTTTTACCGTGACATGATTCAGGAATACAAATATATCTTGTTCAAAGCAAAATACAAGCCCAAAGTTCAGAAACCAAGAACCTATGTGTGTGCTGTAAAAATCAAAGTACTAGTAATTCTGAAATATTTTCTTATGCATGGTTTCTTTTATAGTTGATTCACTCTCTGGATATAGCAGAATTTCAAGCACACTTCCATACCACACAACTCACTTGTTTTATTATAAATAAAAATAATAAAAGTATAATTTATACTTTTAATATATTATGAAATGTATATAAATATATATTATAAAAATAAATTGAAAAATCTCTCTAAAACCCTAGATATGATCACTGTCAAGTTTTGATGTGAATCCTGCCAGAAGTCCTTTGAGCAATACAGGCATGTTTAAGTATATATGTGTGTGATATGAGCTGGAACACAAATTTGGAATAAACAAGCAAAAAATTCTGGAGAAATTCTTTATGAGATAAACACCATAGTTCAATAGTTTAAGTTGCACAGATGAAAACCCCAATAAAAGAATCTTTAGCTAATCACTTTTTCATTCTGTTTAACATTGTTTAACTTAGTGTAATATGACACAAGATGTCACTTTAACATCCTTTTTCATTTCCAAAGCGCACTTCTATTCTTCGTTTTTCCCACGTTGGGTACACTAACTTCTGTTTTCCCAGTCCCAGGGTTTCTCTGCTGCTAGCTGACCCTGATACCATGCCCAGTGATTGTGATTCTGTGAAACGTATGGAAAGATTTTAAGTTCCAAACTCCCTTACTATTGTATTTTCACTCCAATTGCCACCTGTCATCATGAAGTGGCATCTATGATGTTGCTCTTGTCTTGAGCACTCCTGCTCTCTAATTCTTGTCTGTTTGCCATGGTGTCATACACTGCATGCATTTGTTTTTTTCAAGTGTCTCGTGACTGGAGACAGGGACCCTTCTCAAAACCCTTTTCTCCTCTAAGAGAGAATGACCCTTCTGAAACCCTGTGTGGCCATCTTCACCCCAGAGTTTACAGCCAGCCTGAAGTGAGCCTCAGTAAAACACCATTTCCTGCGGTCTGAACCGGTGACACCAACTCAAGGCTAAGAAAGACTCAGGGAATGAGAAGATGACAAAACAAACCCACTAGAGTCTCTACTCCATAAACACGTTGTTGCCTAGAGAACTGCCCCGGGTAGAAATAAAATAAGAGTGCGACCTGCCCTCAGTGCCACTCTTCCAAAACTTGCCGCCCTGCCCGCACCCGGCTCAGGTCGACCTTACAGGAAGACACAGTCCCACAAGGGGACAAGCGACACAGCCTCTCCATCACGCTAAGACAGCAAATCTTGGGAGGGACGCGCACTGCTCTTCAACCGACGGAAGCCGCCAACTAATGAATGAGCCCTCTCGGAGTAGAAGGGAAAATCAACCTCTCCTCTCCCACCGCTGTCACTACGTTTTTTTCAAAACGCAGCAAAGGAAAACCAGCCAAGTCCAGGCCCGCAGCCGCCCCGGGGCAGAAACTGCCTCGTCCCTCGAGAGGACTCTCTTCTCCCGGGTCCGCAGGACTGGGCGGTGACAGGGCGGGGGACCCCCGGGTTCCACAGGACTGGGCGGTGACAGGGCGGGGGACCCCCGGGTTCCGCAGGACTGGGCGGTGACAGGGCGGGGGACCCCCGGGTTCCGCAGGACTGGGCGGTGACAGGGCGGGGGACCCCCGGGTTCCGCAGGACTGGGCGGTGACAGGGCAGGGCGGTGACAAGGCGGAGGTCCTCTGGGGGGTCGGTCAGGTCAGGGTGGTGACAGGATGGGGGTCCCCCCGGGTTCCGTAGGGCAGGGCGCTGACAGGGCGGAGGTCCTCTGGGGGGTCGGTCAGGTCAGGGCTGTGACAGGATGGGGGTCCCCCCGCGTTCCGCAGGGCAGGGCGGTGACAGGGCGGGGATCCCCCCGGGTTCCGTAGGGCAGGGCAGTGACAGGGTGGGGGTACTCTGGGGCAGGGCGGGGGTCCTCCTGGGGTGGGGGGTCAGGGCAGGGCGGTGGCGGGGCGGGGGTCCTCTCAGGGGTCAGTCAGGCAGGGCGGTGACAGCGCGGGGGCCTCTCCCGGGTTCCGCAGGGCAGGGCGGTGACAGGGCGGGGGTCCTCCGGGGTGGGGGGTCAGGGCAGGGCGGTGGCAGGGTGGGGGTCCTCTCGGGGGTCAGTCAGGCAGGGCGGTGACAGCGCGGGGGCCTCTCCCGGGTTCCGCAGGGCAGGGCGGTGACAGGGCGGGGGTCCTCGGGGGTGGGGGGGAGGGAGCGGTCAGGGCAGGACGGTGGCCGGGCGGGCCGCACTTACCCAGGCCGGCAGGTCGCAGGCGCGCACGCCCAGGCGCACGGCGCGCTCCTCGTCCTCCAGCAGCGCCAGCGCGCGGCACAGGCGTCCGGCCTTGAGGCCGCGGTGGCGGCGGCACCAGGCGAGCAGTCCGAGCGCCAGCAGCACCCAGCTGAAGCTCAGCCCCAGGTAGCCGAGCGCGTACACCGGCAGCAGCAGCGCGAAGCCGCGCGCCAGCTGCGCCAGCAGCCCTGGCAGGTCCACGCTCGCCGCGACGCCGGGGGCCTCGGGCGCCGGGCGCACCCCGGCCTCGCCGGCCTCCGGGCCATCGCCCCGGGCGCCGCTCATCGCCCCGGTGCGCCGTGCCGCCCTTCCGCGACACGACCCGGAGCTCGGCGGACCCGCGCGGCTCGGCCCGCGCTTCAGCACCTCTGAGGCCCGGCGCAGCACTCGCCCGCGCCCTCAGCCCGGCCCCGCCCGAGGGCGGGTCCGAGGCGAGGGCCGGACCGCCACTTTTGCCGTCGCGTCGGGGGCGGGGCCTGAGGCGGGAAGCGTGGCGTGGCCCGCGGCGCGGCGCCACCACGAGTAGGCGGGGCGGCTGGCTCTGCGCCCTCGCGTCGGGGGCGGGGCCTGAGGCGAAGAACGGACGTTGTAGTCCCGGGGCGTGGCGCCACTGCGAGTCGGCGGGGCGGCTGGCTCGGCGCCATCGCGTCGGGGGCGGGGCCTGAGGTGAAAAGCTGACGTTGTGGTCCCGGGGCGTGGCGCCACCGCGAGTAGGCGGGGCGGCTGGCTCTGCGCCATCGCGTCGGGGGCGGGGCCTTGGGCGAGGGACTGACGCCATGATCCCGGGCGCGACGGCACGGGAGAGTGGGCGGGGCTGGCCGCGGCGTCCCCTCACGGGTGTCACAGCCAGGCTCTCGGCGCTGCCCCCGCCTGTGCAGTCCCTGAGGTGTTCGGCCCTCCTGGATCCCCCGCTCCGTTTGTCAGGGTTTGTAGTTCTAGGGGCTAGTCCGGTTCGATCGCCCCACGGCTCGTGTGCTCAGGGTGTGGGAAAGAACCGAAAAACCCGCGAGGGCCACTGAGAGCGCCGCCTGTGAAGCTGCTGCTCCTGCGGGCGACCGCACGGCCTGAGGAGTCTTCTGCGTCGGGGGCCGATGGGGGTGCAGGGAGGAGGCCGGGGCCCCAGAGGAGGGGTTGGGCAGGAGGGCCCAGGGGACGTGACCTAGGGGCAGGGGCGCGGGGCAGGACGTGGGGAGGCATGGGAGGGGGTCCGGGAGAGGGGACCCAGGGGAAGGGGCTGGGGGAGAGGGCTGGGGGAGGGGACATAGGGGAAGGGGCTGGGGGAGAGGGCTCGGGGAGGGAACATAGGGGAAGGGGCGTGAGGGGGCGGTCATGGGACAGGGGTCCAGGGAAGGGGACCCAGGGGAAGGGGCGTGTGGCAGGGGAGGGCCCTGGGGCCAGGGAGAGGGTTCAGGGGAGGGAGTCAGGGAGAGGGCCCAGGGGAATAGCCTTGGGCACATGGGGGAGTGGGAGGGGGGGCTACGGGAGGGGGCCCAGGGGATGGCCTGGGGTGCCAGGGGAAGGGGCCTAGGCTGGGGGGGGTGTTCCACGGGGAGGGGTCCTGGGACACCAGGGTTGGGGCCCAAGGGTTGGCCCCCGGGTACCAGGGAGGGCCCTGCTGTCCAGCAGTCACTGTTGGCCCTGCTCATGAGCTGAGGTCTTACTCCAGAAGAACACCGCCACTGTTTCCTTTATTTCCCGCAAATTTGATCAAGTTAACTCTGTTTGTTTCCTGATCTCCTTGAGGCCAAACAGTGGCAGAGAACATTCTACTTGAGTGTTTTCCAGCCTATTCAGTGAATTTCAAGAAAATTTTTAGTCAATTTGCAGCAAACTTCGGCACTGGCAGGTAATGAATAAACAAACACATGCCCAGAAACAGAGTCACCTTTGTGTAGGAGTTCCTCTCCCTACCCTCGTTTGTGTGTCTGCATGATTATGGAGTCAGACACACCACCGTTGCACCACGAGGTTAGCCTCTGCATGATTATGCATGTGCGTGTGTGTGCAGGTTGTATGACACATGTGTAAAACATTGCTCAGGATCCCCTGGAACACTCAGCTCCTCGAAGGGCCTAAACCTCAAGCAAGGAAAGGAAGTGATCTTCCTTTTCTTGCTGTTCTTGGTCCCTTGATTGCAGCAGCCCTGGTGAGTCTCAGCCCCTTTTCCTGTGCAGCAGGTTCATGCTCTTTATGCCACCTCCCATTCGAGACTAAGCCTTGTTGTCACAGGAAGGAGCATGAACCTCTCTGTCTTTGGCAGTCTTTACACTTGTGGGATCACATAAACCACATAAAAATCCTGTGCCACTTGCTATTGACCTGGGAATGGAAAACAGGAGCAAAGGAAAGTGTGCTGGTGTTGCATACCAGCAGTCAGCTGCCTTCACGCTGCCCACTGAGCCTCTGCCCTCCCTGTGCTTAATGAGGTGAAGAAGGCAGAACGTATGGCAATGCTGCACCTCAGGTCTCATTCTGCACTGAGTCTAATAACAGGTCCAGTTTGGTTCTTAGGTTTTTGTTAATCTTTACTTTTTATCCCTCAGTCTCCTGGGATGCTTCAGATTGCCTTGATCCTTTTATTGTGTGTGGACAGTTCTCCCAGGAAAGGTGCTGCTTTCTTGGAGCAAAGGCTGTCACTCTGAATGTTCTAGTACACACCTATGAAATTTCAGCCTTTCTAGTTTCAGAGAAAAGTGCTGCCTTCTTCAGTTCAGTCCTTCCTGCTTTACTGTAGTCTCCCTTCCCCAAGGCCTCTGTGACAGTGAAGGGAGGCTTAGCATGACTAGCTCCATTTTGCTTCTGACTCCTGTGGTAATATCCTTTAGGTTAAAAGTTGCTGCTTAGCTCTGACTTAGGCTAGATGACAGGGTGACAACAGTGCCTTTTCCAAAACTAATTCCCAGGTAGGTAAGAAAAGCATACACATGTAAACTGAAGAAAACGATGAGGTTCATAAATTTGGAAAGGAGAGTTTCATTTCTCACAAAGGGTGGCAGCCTGTGGGTGCCCATTCCTACAGTCTGAGAAGCAGAGCCCAGGCCAAAAGCCAGAAACTGGTGCTTCCAGGGAGGAACAATGAGAAGAGGAATTTGTGCTGAGCTGGTGGCCAAGTGTACATATTTAACAAGCTGTAGGAGGAGTCATGAATATTTATAAGAAACATGCACATGCTCAGTTCACCTTTATGCCCCTTTATGGGGTCCATGTTCAGAAAGCGATGGCCCTCTGAAATCAAAAGGTCAAGCAAGGACATGAAAACCCTCTCTGCACATGCTCTGTAGACTGTTTAAAAACCACTCCATGGTTGGTGGTCTTTTGGCAGGGAAGAAAACTGGTCAGAATCATGAATTGGGCTTTTGTAGCCCTGAGGAAGAAAGCCTTGTGGCTGTTAGCAAGGAAGTAGGTATAATGAGGTGTCTGACCTCCCATCCCATCAATGCTGGGAATTCAGTTTTTGGGTTTCTCTGGGGTCCCCTTGGCCAGGCCTGTTCAGTTAGTGGGTGCTTAGAATTTTATTTTAGTTAATGCACACAAGTAACAATGTTATGTTAAAGATTTTTAGGAACATCCTGACCTTCGTCCTCCAAAGTTGACCAAAACCAAAGAAGTTTTACAACCTCCTCAGACCCTCCCTGACACCCAGTTGTCTGCGGTTCTTGGTCATCTCTTACAACCGGAGCCCCGCTTCCCCTTGCCTTAAAAAGAGCCCTAACAGTCATGCTGACTTAATCTGATTATGTTCTTTGGGACAGTAGTCAACCATCTTCTCAGTTTGCTGGCTCTCTGAATAAAAGTCACTGTCCTTGGCCCAAACCTTGCCTCTCGACTTACTAGCTGTCCTGCAGGGAGTGGTATGAGCTTTACCTTGGGTACACTCTGAATATTTTTAATTCTAGAGGGTAGGAGCACACACTGTGCATCTCTTCCTTTCATGATACCAACCAAGATCTTTTTGTTCAAACTTACCAAGACTCCTATTTCCGAGTTTCTGTGGTGCTCCTTTTTGTGATACAACCGAGCATTCTTACCATAAACATCCTTTACCTGAGCTGTCCTGGACAGATCTTTGTGCTTTGCAGCAGGAAGAATGAGAAAAAGCTTGCTTTGTCCTTTGATACATCAACCTGAAATAACCAAAAGAATCAGCTGTAAAGAGTCCGTCCATTCAAGCAGGAAGTTGGGAATGGCCATTCAGGACACACAGACACCAGAGTAATGGGGTCAGTGCTCTGAAGTTAAAGGTTAGGGTCTTGCTTATACAGGCAGAAAACAAAAATTTAACAGAATTATAACATTTTTAAATAGAAATCTGCTTTAAGGGTTACAACAAATTAATTACAATGTTCTTTTCTGTGTGGCTTATTTCCTTATACCTGGTTTTTGTTTCCTTTCTAATTTAAAAGTGTTTAACATTCCATCCTAAGACATGATAGCCATGAAATCTTTGTATGAGAAAGATAAGAGGGAAGTTAATCTATAATGAAGATCAGCAGTGGAGGGGAAGGGTCACCCTTTGGTCATTTACAGCATTTCACAAACAATGTGAGCAAGAAGGCCAGTCTATAACCAGAGAAGCAAAGGTTAAGGCTGCCTATCATGTGCCACAGGCCCTGTAATCACATTTCTTTAAGGCCCCAAATAATTTAAAATTCTAACAGCTTAGATTTGGATTACTTATTTTCACATTTTCTTACCCAGATTTTTATATACATCTCTTAATTGATTGGTATCCTTTTGATCCCAGTGTCAATGGAAAAAATCCAAACTCTGCAAAATAATTTTAAAGAGATTTATTCTGAGCCAAATTTGAGGACTATGACCCGGAGCCACTGCCAAGAGACCTTGGGCAAGTGGACTCCTTGTGGCTGGGTTACAGTTTGGTTTTTATACATTTTAGAGACAACAGTTCCGGGTAAAGCCATCAATCAATATGTGGGAGGCATACATTGGTTTGGCCCAAAAAGGAGGGCCATCTTGAAGCAGGGGCTTACAGGTTATAGGTGTGTTTAAAGATTATTTAGATTGTAATTGGCTAAAGACATGAAGCTTTGTCTAAAGACTTGGAATGTTTTAACATAAACTATTTACCAGAGATAAGCCACCATTTGTTGCATAAATTGAGGATCTGCAGGTTTGTCTTGCATACCCTTAGGCCTGTTAATGGGTTACAAAGGAAGTTTCCAAGAAGGGAGGGGGGCATGATAAGGCTTGTCTGACTCCCTCCTCCTGGCAGGCAACTTTGCCCTAGAATATTCCTTTGGCCACGAGGGGGTCTATTCAGTCAGCCGGTGGGGGGAGGGAGTGAGCATTTTAGTTCACACCACCCTCTTTTTTTAAGAGCTATCAGGAGACCTGACATCCCTCTTTTCCCCTCTCCTTT